TGTCCATCGGTTATATGTTAGCCCCATTACACGAAAGTCGTATGTTAGTTGGGGAAAATAGTATTGCAACTTCCGAATCTGACACTTACTATCGCTGCTGTAGACCAGTTTTTTCTAGTAATTATTGTCAGAATTCCAACTTTGGAGACGATGGCATTGCGCAGATTCCATTTTGCGGCTCTTCAACTGCTCGAATACAGCAGAACAGTCAAGATCAATTTCAACAGCATCAGCAGCAACAGCAGTCGCAGCCACAACCAGAGATGGCTGCTTCAACAAATTACTTTCAAGTTCCGCCAAAGTATGATTTTTAGATTATAGGATCAAAAAATGAGATTTGTCTGATCATACATCAAAAAGTTCTGTAGACAACGTACATAATGTGTAGTCTCATGTTTCAGTGATTTTCAACAATTCAGATGCCCGTTTACAGTATCATCAACGTCAGCAGAGCAGTTTCAGTCTGGTGTTGTATCACAAGTAAATTGAGTTGCCGATACTTCCGTTCTTTACTTTTATTTATTTATTTATATTTTTAAACACTAATTTTTTTTGTAATTGTAAAAAACTAACTGAACTTTTTAGCAGCATTATGTAAATAGATTGTTCTTTTTTTTTCCAGGTTCAGCTGGAAGATAACGGGTTTTATGCAGTTTGTGCAGGTCAAAACACATCTTCATGTGTAAATTATAATATAATGGATGAATTTTTTGCACCCAAACAAAAGATGTATGGTACCGCAGAATCACCATTGCACACTGTTACAAATGTTAAAAAAAAAGTTGGTGTCTTATTTTTTTTAATTTTTTGCTCTCTTTCTCAAGCCAAAAATTCTTCTTTTTTTTGCAGAGGAAACCTTTTCTTTTCACTTTGCTTCTTTATTTTCATCAGAACTTTAGGCAGCAATGAACTGAATTTAAAAAAAATTTGGAAAATCCGTCGAGCAAAAAATTTGTTTAAAAATCGGAAAAATTTTCTGGAGCTGCATCCTTTAAAAGGCGCAAAAAAACTGCTGTTAAAGCGGCATCAAAAAACGAGCGTTGAGAGAAAAAAAACGTTTTTAAAAAAAAAAAACCCCAAAATTCATCATTTAAATGACGTTATAACAACACTTTGCTTCAAACCGTTCTTCTTTCCTTTTATTAATAAAGAATATTACTATTGTAGACATTTGGATGTCATGCAAAGTCCATTTGTGCAAATTGCTACACTACAGAAACCACACTGTGGAGACGACGGAAGATTGATGGTGCTGCTGAATGCAAGTGAGTTTCCGCCATTTTTTCATTAGAATCGCCTTCATCGATGTCGTTGTCACCAATTTGCATAGTATGATATTGCTTCGTTAATTAGTTCCACTTAAAATTGAGATCCCCACTTGTCGCTGATGTTACTACCGGCAACATCGTAAAAGTCTCTGATTCAGGAGCACAGGTGATGAAAGACACTTATTTACGGACTCAATCCCTTAATTGTATTTTTCAACAATTTCAGTGCCTGTAATCTGTACTTTCGGAAGAATCAAAGAGCTCGTCCGGTTGGCATGAACAAGGCTATTCGAAAGAGAAAGCGTATACCAAAAAACACGCAAATCAGTCTTACTTGAGAATTTTTATATAAATATTTTTGTCCTTTTGATGCTTTTTGGATTCCAAACAGCGCCTATTTCTATTTAAAGTGCAGTGCTTCATCCTTAAGCTAATTATGCTACCTGAGATACACTGTGACAGTTTGTCCGGCCGAGTAACAACAGCCCAGATATTTCGAGTATTTATATAATGCTCGAAAAAGAAAGCATGGTTATAAACACTGTACTACCCAGCTAAGTTAACAAGAGAAAGAACTGCAATGATATTTTATGTGGACATAGTATGCGCTGATGAGTACTTGTAAGCATAATCTGTATTGCCAATAAGTGAAAATGATGATCACGGTGACGGTAATAAACCATTGTAAATGAGCAGAATATAACCTCGCAAAAGTTTTAAGTCGCCTTCAACTGTGTCTTACTTTTAATTTCCTTAATTTTGATATTACCTTATGATATGTGTCCTTCAACAGCTCCCAAAATTACAAGTTTTTTTACCTGTTTCTCTGTTTGTCATGTGTTTTTGAAGAAAAAGATCAACCTTCCAGCAAAGCTATCAATTACTGACAATAGAAGTAAAAAACATATAAGAAATTGTAGGAATTAGCACCAGTAAACTGTGGTGACAAAATTCGCAGTAAAAAAAACACTCCCCCCAGGTTTTTGGAACCCACATATAATTTCGCTGTTGTTTATCAGCTACTGTCTTTCGTGATTACTATTGACGTCCCTGATGGCTTTACTGTTCAGTCTTCGAATACCCCTGGTGCCGCTGCTGTTTCCGCTGCTGTTTTTTTTTAAGTGCCTTCCAAAGCCAGTTACATCATTTCACCAACACATTATTTTGAAAACCAAAAAACAACAATGATTTTTTATACCAAATCTTTGAACCCTTTTCAACAGCCCTAACGAAACAAAATCAAAAAGAGAAAAACACCGAACCATTCACATTTTTTACCAGACAGTAGAAACTGAAATCTAAATGACTCATCCCCATCACAATGTCAAGTCGAAACTGCTACTAATTGAAAGTATCTTTTGATGGCTTTAACACATTAATTTACCACCTGTTCGTACGTGTTGCAAAAGATTATTATTATTATTATTATTATTATTATTATTATTATTATCAATGATATTATAATAACAGTAATACCAATAACTAATACCATTATTATTATTATTATTATTATTATTATTATTATTATATAAAATTATTGTTATTTATAGTATCTGTAAAGCAACATTAGTGATTATGTAACTCCTTTAAACAAAATACTTTAGCTCTTTTTTTTTTTTGTTCCTTATTTCTAATTAGATGACAGCAGCTGTTGTGTGCCATGTCTAATATCAAAAGTTTTACAGAGCTACAATGTTTTGAATTTGCTTTTTTCTTTTCGCTAATTACACTGCACTTGTTTCACTAAAGTATCCAAAAGCTTCCACATGGAGTAAACGAAATATAACAGACTGGAAAACAATTGGCAATACTCTGCCGAACAGCACTGCAAGGGGAGAGAGACCGTACCAACTAGAGACCGTACCAACTTTACCATTCCGTCCTTTAAAATAAAAAAAAAAGAAAACTACATTTAAAAGAATCTGACACTTCAGCAGGCAGTGACAAGCCGACAAATTGTGCAAAAGAAATGTTCCCTTGAAATACACCCGTTTTAAAAAGCAATCTTCTTTTGCGAAGCGAAAAGGAAGAAGCAGTTCTTTTTTTATGGAACATCATGTATGCCGAAATTTTTTTTTGCAGGTCAACCCTGTTCAGGTAGTTTCTCCGATGTTAAAACGTTAAAAACTTTGACCTAATAAATCTCATATTGAAGCTCCCAATGAGAAAACCCAACTTTTCCATTTTAGTCCTTCGATTCTAGAATGACCAGCAGCATAATACCAAAATTGACTCTCACCTACCACTGAACCGCTCAACTATATCATAACTTATCGGCGAAATGAAAACCATCATAACGCGGAGAATTCTGTAGAGCAATGTACTCTTACAGCTTTCGTAATCAATTACCAATTTGTGCCAGTGAACACAATTTTAAAAATTCTCCATCGCACCAAACCCTGCTTCAAAACTACGGCACTCACACTTCTACCGCGAACAAGTTGAACCAAAAGACCTATCGACCCCAGTAATAGCTGTCCAAGTCTTCAAAGAAAAATACTCTCAAAACGATAAAAAAAAAAAAAAAGCCAGTAATCCACAATGGAACCACCTAGGTGAAACCTGCTTAAAGAAGTATTAGTAGTTCCCCAGAAGCAAGACTTAGTGTTACAATGCCAGAGCGTCCAATTAACCTACAAAAGTTCCCACACAACGGCGACTCAAATAAGGATTGGCTATTGGCTGGATGATTTCATACGGCAACTCCTCCTTCACGAAACCTACCACACAAAACACTATTCAGACCTTGTTCCCCTTCGAGTACGAGTTGCGCAGCTACTCTTTTACTTGACCTCGACAATAAAAAAACATGAAAAAAAAAGTATAAACTCTCACCACTCAACTGCTATGTAAAAAAAGGCATATAATGCAGAAACAAAAACGTACATGGCAACACAGAATTATAAGTGGCATCGTCTTGGCATACACAAATTTTGTTGCAAACGTTTTTATAAACAGAATTTGCGCTCATAGCGTTTGTATAGAAAACAAAACTAATAATAAGGAAAAAAATAAAAACAAGTTAACTTGATGACGGCTTAAAACAAAGCCATAAAACTGGAGTTATATATCAAAACTGAACGCTTAAGTAGGACATAGCTGTAAACGAACATACGAGTCATCAACACGTCAGGACAGAACAAGTCCATCACAGGCAAATGACAATAATACAGTAGAACCAAAATCGCGATATTGCCACCATGTGCAATGCATTCAGAGGTATAAATTCATGAAAGCAACAAAAAATCAGATGTACAAAGCAATGAAAGACATGTTGCAAAACAAGCAGTGCATACTTATTTCCTATCTCAGATCTTTTCACCAATTTACACTGAAATCCCAAATTAAATTAAAAACAAGCAAACTGAAAAAACAGAACGACAATTTTTCTCGTCGCTATTATAACCTATAAAACATTTTAACTCTCAAAATAGAGACTGCTGGATACGCGCACGGAAAAAAGAACGCCAAATGTGAAATATATGATCAGGCCATGGCCGCCATATTCACTGGATGACGGTCAACCAAATCCCAGATTTGGACATCCAGTCATACGCACACGCAAACAGCAGGCACGAAATATAAAAAAAGTGGCGCTAATATCTCTAAACTTTTTCATCCTAAACCGTTATGCCTACTGAATTAAAATTTATATCCTAGTAATTTCAACTAGGAACAAAAAAAAAGTAATAAAATACAAATACGTATAAGGCAAAAACCAGTTACTTCTTGGAAACAGAAAATAAATTTAGGAATATTAAAAACAGAGAGTCATAAAGCAACATTGAAAATGAAGATATGCAATATTAAAAGCAATGACCGCACTTCGTAATAAACTTCTTGTCGGCTCATCACGATGGGTTTTGTATAGAGGAAATTTGAGCTTAATAGCCAGCTCAGAACTGCTTAGAACTACAAAAAATCCATTATGATATCCAACACAAAATATCATCCAATGCTCAGAGGTCCATCTACCGCAATCCTGACTTGAAACAGTATTAACAAAAACCTCCGTAGCTATATAGTACATTAAGCTGACCAACGAATTAAATAAGGGACAGAAGCTATTAGCTGCAAAAAGTGAATACTTGCTCAGATTACTTATAGAATCGAATAAAATATAAGAGCATATCGGCGAGACATACTTCTGCTCAAAGGATTAAGCGATGGACTGCAGTGAAATGAATGGAAAACGAAAAAAATGAAAGACAAATCCTGTAGGGCAGCAAAATATATCCTTTTAATCGGTTATTAAAAAAACAAATACAAAGTCATTTAGCATTTCCTTCAAAAAATCTTTTAACAAAAGAAAATGTTTTTTAGCTTCCCGAACCAATTAAAAGGATAAAACATTTTAAGAAAATGCAAGAACCTTTTCATACAATAAGTTGAGACTTCTAAGCAAAATACATGACACTGTTGGCATCTGGGTGTACTTGCACAGCACGAGCCATGTTACTAAGCGTAGTATCCTCACTAGTACCGGAAGGCTGCGATCCCTCTCCACTAAAGAAATTCCAATTTACTTTACCACAGCAAAATAAATTCATTAATTTAAATCCAAAAAATCGAACAGAAAATAAATTAAATTCGGAGTTTAGCAAACTGTCTAACCTGTCATGATCTCGATCTACTAAATGATATCTAGCCCGAAATGCAACAAGATGAGCATAATAAGCAGGGGCGGGAATAGAAACCGAACGAGTACAACGAACATACGTATGGCACATCTGGTAAGTAAGCTGCTGCAACTCGTCAGCAGTAAGACTGTTATCATCCCACAGCACATGGTAATGAGACGGACGTGAAGTACCCTAAAAAAGAATGAGAGCATTAAAGACAAAAACACAGCACAACAAGTCAAAACCATCTTACCTGTATCCCAGCATGCGAACACAAGTAAAAATCGAATTCAGTGGGATGCGTAATCCCAACATCGACAGTTGTCCCCGGCGGAATGTTATAGGCCTTTCCCACCTTGAAAAAAGTAAACGGCACTTCATAAGAAACCCTATAGGGAAACACATACTAGTTACTAAGAGTTCAAGTACCTGATCCTTCTTTTCGACAGCGAAAAGTCTAGTGTGATGTCGTTTCTGAACAGCAATAAAAGTTATTCCTGGTTGGTAACCTCTTTCTAGCATCATACACGCATCTCGCATCGCTCTCAATTCGTGTTGGAGAACCTTAATGAAAAGAACAAGCAGATACAACGAAAAATGCATATGATCGAGTTTTATGCAAAAAAAAAAAAAAAAAAAAAA